TCAACACCATAGCCCCTCCGATGAAGTGTGAGTAGTTTACTTCAGACCTTCGGGTCCATAGCTAGTAGCTAGATGGCTTCTTCTCTCTTTTTGGATCTCAATACAATGTTCTCCCCCTCTCTCGTGGAGATCTATTCGATGTAATCTTCTTCTTTTTGCGGTGTGTTTGTTGAGACCGATGAATTGTGGGTTTATGCTCTAGTATTATCTATGGAAAATATTTGAATCTTCTCTGAATTCTTTTATGTATGATTGAGTTATCTTTGCAAGTCTCTTCGAATTATCCTTTTGGTTTGGCCAACTAGATTGGTAGTTCTTGCAATGGGAGAAGTGCTTAGTTTTGGGTTCAATCTTGCGGTGACCTTTCCCAGTGACAGAAGGGGCAGCAAGGCACGTATTGTATTATTGCCATCGAGGATAACAAGATGGTTTTTTTATCATATTGCATGAATTTATCCCTCTACATCATGCCATCTTGCTTAAGGCGTTACTCTGTTTTTAACTTAATACTCTAGATGCATGCTGGATAGCGGTTGATGAGTGGAGTAATAGTAGTAGATGCAGAATCATTTCAATCTACTTGTCTCGGACATGATGCCTACATACATGATCATTAGCTAGATATGCTCATAACTATGCTCAATTCTGTCAATTGCTCAACAGTAATTTGTTCACCCACCGTAGAATATCTATGCTCTTAAGAGAAGCCACTAGTGAAACCTATGGCCCCCGGGTCTGTTCTCATCATATCAATCTCTATCACTTTATTACTTGCTTTGTTTTTACCTTGTCTTTTACTTTTTACTTTGCATCTATCTATATCAAAAATACCAAAAATACTATTTATCATCTCTATCAGATCTCACCCTCGTAAGTGACCGTGAAGGGATTGACAACCCCTAATCGCGTTGTTTGCGAGTAGCTATCGTTTTGTGTAGGTACGAGGGACTTGTGCATGGTCTCCTACTGGATTGATACCTTGGTTCTCAAAAACTGAGGGAAATACTTACGCTACTTTGCTGCATCATCCTCTCCTCTTCGGGAAAATCCAATGCAGTGCTCAAGAGGTAGCAAGAAGAATTTCTGGCGCCGTTGCCGGGGAGGCTCACGCAAGCAAGTCAACAATACCAAGTACCCATCACAATCCCTATCTCTCGCATTACATTATTTGTCATTTGCCTCTCGTTTTCCTCTCCCCCACTTCACCCTATTCGCCCTCTCTTTCCCAATCTCCTCCTCTCTTTCCCGTTTGCCTTTTTCCCGTTGCCTTTCTGTTTGCTCGTGCGTTAGTTTGCTTGTTTATCGTGATGGCTCTACCTAGATTTGGTGATCTTCACTTTAAAAGGCTAGAGGAGATCGAAAGCAATGTCAGAAAGTTTATGGTTTTGTAATTTGAGCATAATAATTTCTTTAGAAATGAGCTTAAGGAACAAAAAAGTTTTATGAGTTATATGAATAAAGAACTCGATGATATGTCTAAAGAATTTGATAGTATAAGAGCCCAAATTGCTCGTCTTGAAAAGATGACCGCTGAAATTTCGGATATGCAAGCTACCTTAGTCAATAAAATGGCCGCTAAACCGAATTCCTGTGAAAATCAAGATGAAGATCTAAAAGTTATTGTTGTGTCCCCTATCAAATCTTTGTTTTGCAATATGAATCTTGATGAAACTGAATATGATCTTCCTTTACCTAGAAGGCGTTCTAAGAATTCGGAGTTTCTAGATCTTGATGATGAAATTGATGAAAGTGGGATTGAAAGAAATAAAAACCTAGATGTTGCTAAGCTCACTATTTTGGATCTCAAGGAATTTAATTATGAAAATTGCTATTTGATTGGTTGTATTTCCTTGTTGCAATCCCTGCTAGATTCTCCTCATGCTTATAGTCAAAATAAGGCCTTTACCAAACACATCGTTGATGCCTTGATGCAATCTTATAAAGAAAAACTTGAGTTGAAAGTTTCTATCCCTAGAAAACTCTATGATGAGTGGGAACCTACCATTAAAATTAAAATTAAAGATTATGAGTTTCATGCTTTGTGTAATTTTGGTGCTAGTGTCTCTACTATTCCCAAAACTTTGTGTGATTTGCTAGATTTCCGTGACTTTGATGATTGCTCTCTAAACTTGCATCTTGCGGATTCCACTATTAAAAAGCCTATGGGAAGAATTAATGATGTCCTTATTGTTGCAAATAGGAATTATGTGCCCGTAGATTTTATCGTTCTTGATATAGATTGCAATCCTTTATGTCCTATTATTCTTGGTAGGCCTTTCCTTAGAACGATTGGTGCAATTATTGATATGAAGGAAGGGAATATTAGATTTCAATTTCCCTTAAAGAAGGGCATTGAACACTTCCCTAGAAATAAAATAAAATTACCATATGAATATATCATGAGAGCCATTTATGGATTGCCTACCAAAGATGGCAATACCTAGATCTATCCTTGCTTTTATGTCTAGCTAGGGGCGTTAAACGATAGCGCTTGTTGGGAGGCAACCCAATTTATTTATTTTGCTTCTGTTTAGGAATAAATAATTCATCTAGCCTCTGTTTTGACGTGGTTTTATCTTTTAATTAGTGTTTGTGCCAACTAAAACCTATATGATAACCTACGATGATAGTTGATTTGATTCTGCTGAAAAACAGAAACTTTGCGCGCATGAATATAATTTTGTTAAATCACCGAACGTGATTTTGCGTTGATTCTTTTTGCTGCTATTCAATAGACAAATTTTCCAGGACTTCCTATTTTGGTAGAATTTTTAGAGTTCCAGAAGTTTGCGTTAGTTACAGATTGCTACAGACTGTTCTGTTTTTGACAGATTCTGTTTTGCGGGTGTTGTTTGCTTATTTTGATGAATCTATGGCTAGTAAAATAGTTTATAATCCATATAGAAGTTGGAATACAGTAGATTTAACACCAATATAAATAAAGAATGAGTTCATTACAGTACCTTGAAGTAGTCTTTTGTTTTCTTTCTCTAACGGAGCTCACGAAATTTCTGTTGAGTTTTGTGTTGTGAAGTTTTCAAGTTTTGGGTGAATTCTTTTGATGGATTATGGAACAAGGAGTGGCAAGAGCCTAAGCTTGGGGATGTCCATGGCACCCCCAAGATAATCCAAGGACACCAAAAAGTCAAAGCTTGGGGATGCCCCGGAAGGCATCCCCTCTTTCGTCCACTTTCATCGATAATTTACTTGGAGCTATATTTTTATTCACCACATGATATATGTTTTGCTTGGAGCGTCTTGTATCATTTGCGTATTTACTTGTTAGTTTACCAAAATCATTCTTGATGTACACACCTTTTGAGAGAGCCATACATGAATTGAAATTTGTTACAATACTCTATGTGCTTCGCTTATATCTTTTAAGCTTGATAGTTTTGCTCATAGTGCTTCACTTATATCTTTTGAGCGTGATAATTTTTGCTCTAGTACTTCACTTAGATCTTTTAGAGCACGGTGGTGGATTTGTTTTAAAGAAACTATTGATCTCTCATGCTTCACTTAGATTATTTTGAGAGCCGTTAATAGCATGGTAATTTGCTTAATGATAATATACTTGGTATTTAATACATGTGAAACTTTCTTTTTGAGTGCATTGAATACTAAGATAAGTTTGATGCTTGATAATTGTTTTGAGATATGAAGATGGTGATATTAGAGTCATGAGGTAGAGGAAGACGAGCGAGACGGTGGCGACGACGAGGTGCATAGCTCTGTCCTCGGCTCGGCTCAATCCCGTAACCCGCGGTGCGGCGCGGCGCGGCGTGACGAGGCGAGCGAGGAGGAGCGTGTGTGTAGGTCTCCTTTTTTCATGCTCATACAAGTGGTAGAAGAGCTCACCTTATAAAAAGGTACAAGTCTTACTCAACTTCCATGGTGGAACTAAACTTTAGTCTCACTCACTTTACTCACATGTGTGCATGAATGGGCAAAGTAAATACTAGCAAATTCCAACATGGGCCCCTCTCAAACGAACGAGACTGAGACCAGGTAGAGGGCATCGTGAGTCTAGTCACGTGCCATGGTAACATGCATTGTCGATCAAACCCGTGTGTGCTCACTCCATTCCTAAATATATAAATCCTTTTAAACATTTCAAATGGACTATAACATAAGAATGTATGTAGACATATTTTAGAATGTAGATTCACTCATTTTGCTTCGTATTTAATTATTTGTTGAAATCTCTATTGTTGAGATCTCTAAAAAGAGATATATTCTGAAACGGAGGGAGATACATGTCGTGACATGACAAGCAATGAACAGTGTGAGAAAGCAAGAACTGTGCTCTCACGAGAAAAGAGATGCTAGTGCAGTGCAGCCACACTCTGACAAAATAGGACCAGCCACACAATCACGAATTAACAGATGAGATTCGTTCCGTCTCAAGTGATCACTGTTGCAGTTCTAGAGGCAATCGAGCCACCAGATGAGCAAAACATAATAAAATTCTTAACCATAAATCTGAAGAACATCTCTACTGCATATTACAAACAACATTCACATCAACACCAAGAGCGCATGCATCTCGCTAAAATTCTTCACGATACATGCATGGGCAAACCATGAATCTGAAGTTCCCATCTTCCCCTACTAGCTTACTACCAGTTACCAAGCTACTAATAATAATACAGTACAGTATGAAGCAAACATACTAGTCTATTACATGGGCAAACTGGCGATGGCGGTTGGTTCTCAGTGATGGGATGGGATGGGAAATGGGAATCACCACTTGTAGCGGTGGTAGATGGCCTCGGCGTGCGCGTTCTTGTAGGCGCTGCAGCCGATGAGGTAGAGGAAGACGAGCGAGACGGTGGCGACGACGAGCGCGATGTTGGCCTTGTGCCACTGGCTCCGCAGCGCCGCCAGGAGGCCCGCGCGGCACGACTCGCACTCGTAGCACAGCTGCGCCGGGTCGTTGCTCCACAGGCCGCAGTCCGGGTCCGACGCGGGCCGCGCCGGGTTTGTCCACACCGTCGGGCTCACGTACCCGAACCCGCACACCGACAGGGGCTTGCAGCAGCCCGACTGCGACCACACCACACCACACCACACCAAAAGCTCCGTCAGTTGTCAGAGCCCACGTTTCAGCTCAGTTATTATTGTTATGCTGAGAAATTTTACAGGAATCAGTCATCCTGCGACAGTGGCTGGATCTGAAGCAATTTTCTTTTCTCCCAATCACGTGAGGTGGAGTTTCCTAGAGATGGATGCATGAACGTCTGAGAGACCAAAGCCCCGGAACGCGCGGTGGCAAACAGAGACAGACAAACCCTCCTCAGATGAGGACATCGAGATGCTGCGTGCGGCCACTGCAGAACCGAGCTCAAGTACCCTCGACACCAGAACTAAGATGATGGCAGTAGTAATCAACTGACGACTCTAGAACTAAACACAAGCTCCCACGCACCGACCCATGCGACCCTTGTCCCCGGCACTGTCCCGTCCGTTTCTTGTTCTTGGGACAGCAACTCTTCCATGGTTTTGTTGCCGATATATAAGGGCACTTGGTTAAGCTTTCTCTCAGGGGATAGAGTGAAAAGTAGCATTGATACGCCACCCAAGTAATTGCCCGTTACGTACTCAATTATATTCGCAGTCTAAATCAGTGTCAGATTTGTTCCAGAAAGGGCTTAATTACATGGGCCTACGCGCGGATTCGCCTCAAGACCATTTGGCACTTGGCAGAAACCGAGTGGCCCACATCACAGTGACCGTGAACAATGGCCACCGCTTTCTTTGTGCCCTGTCAGAAAGTTGCCACCGGATGGATTGCCCTCCTCATCGTCTAGTAGCATCTCCGAGGGCCAAGATAACCTGATGCCCGGATCCTTCTAAAGCACATCTCAACGTCTTTGTTTCCACTACAAGTGTCACTACCGATGCGTTTGTTCACAATCATCTAGTGGAGTAGTAGTATGGCAACAGTTTCAATCGAAACAGTATGTTCATTTTGTGGAATTCTATGTTTGAGGAGGTGGGAAAAGTCACTTTAGTGCTAAAACTTGTGGAATACATTGAACGAGTGCCAGAACTTGGCTCGGACGTTCATATACAGTGCAAATCCTGCTCATATACGCCCGCGGCACTGACATGACACTGTATATTTGTACTCTGCCAACATGGCAGTGATTCGGTCCCACTTGTCAGCTAGCAGTACGAATTATTAATAGTTGCATGTGTGGCATAGGCTGGAACCCACCTGTCAGCCAAAGAATACAAATAACAGAAAAAAGTAAAAATACTATTACACCGCGAGGGTTCGAACTTGTGAACTCAGCGTTACTAGCGAGCGCCAATCGCCAACCAGCTGACTAATTTCATTAACTAAAGGATGCACATTGTTTTTATCTTTTCAGAATCAAACGGGCTACTGCCATTGCCGCCCATTTTGCGCTGTCATTTTCTTATAGAAATTTGTAAAACATATGTAAATTATGATCGTGTGTTAAATATAATATATTACATAATAAATATTCATATTGACTGAAAAATTATTCAGTCACATATTAAATATCCATATAATTAAATCATGAATTAAAAATTTAACAATTTACATGTTTAATAAAAATATTAAAGTAATTTTTAATTTTTCTATGTATCTAAAAAATTACCATATGAGTTTAAAAATGTTCACTATTTTCATAAAATAATGATGTAGTGTACAAACGTGTTCAACATTTAAGAATTTTTTATGTTGATTTAAAAAGTGTTCACAGGTTTTTATAAAGTTAATTAGTTTTTATATAGAAAAATATTTTTTTAATGAAAAATAAATATGAGCCTAGTGTCCGCATAAATTGCGGATCGTCAATTGAACAATATTTAAATTTTGTTACCGTTTTTATAATTCGTATTTTTTAAGTTAAATGAATATGTTTTCAAATAATATATGATTATTTTAATTTATGCTAGTTCCTTCTTCTTTGGATTACAATTTCAATGTATGCTGTTTGGTTGAAAGGATATAAAATATATGTATGCACTTATATATTCAAAAGTTATTGGTTATGTAGCTCTCAGAAAAAGAGTTATTTGTCTTGTTGGGTAGCCACGCGCCCTGGGAAAGTTTTGTTCTGGTTCGAACGCCCACTACTTCCTTCTCCTTTGGGTTAAAATTATAACATATGTTATTTTTAGTTAATGAATATGAACGTTGTGTGTCCAGTTATGATAACTAAAGTCGTTTGCCAGTTTGCTGGTTCGAAACAGGAGAGAGCAGTATTTTTTTTTCTTGTTAATATTATATATGCTCTTTGGCTGACAGGTGGGACCCAGCCAATGCCATACAGGCAACTACTAATAATTTCTCTTGCTAGCTGATAGATGTGACCCAATTACTGCGGCATGGGCAGAGTATACATATACAAAGCCAGGTCAGCGGCGCGGGTGTATACGAGCGAGACTTGCACCGTATATGCATGCCCCAGCCAAGTTCTAGCACTCGTTCAATGTATACCACAAGTTTTAGCATTAAAATGATTTTTCATGTCAAGTATAAGTACCGGTGGTGTAATTGACTCTTGATAAATCTATAGCTAAACAACGATGGTTGGAGTACTAGTAAGTCCGTTTCTTGCAGGCTGTAAGAAGCAGTAAATGTGATACTACTGTTACTCCTAGCTAGTTCTAGTAGTACATGGTACTACTAGCATCATTCAGCTATCACTCAAATATACTTCCCCGCAAAAATCAACTAAAAATATAGTGACGAGAAGGACTGGGATTAGGTGATGGATAATACTCTACTACAGTAGTACGTACCTGGAGCGGCGTGAGGCGGGACTGGTAGAACTGGTCGGCAGTGACGTAGCCGGCCTGTCGGGCGAGCTTCTTGCAGGTGTCAGAGACGGCGAGGCAGGACCTGATCCCCTCCCACCGGGCGGGGTCAACGTACCCGCGCAGCCACATGGAGAAGCCGTCGAGGCGGTACTCGTCGTACTCGCGGCCGAGCACCGGGTAGGCGCCGGAGCCGCGGGTGACCGCGAAGGCGAAGACGAGGAGCGCGATGAGGAGGGCGATGAGCGCCGCCATGGCGAAGAGGTAGAAGGCGAGGAGGCGGCGGCGGTTCCAGTAGGCGCCGACGAAGCCCGCCAGCGCCGCCAGCAGGATGAGGCCGCCCAGGATGGCCACGGGCCAGCGCGCCAGCCGCGCGCACTCCTCCCCCTGCGCCGACGCGAACCACACCCCCGAGGCGATGACGGGGACCGCGCAGATGAGCGCCATCAGCGTCACGCACGCCGTGATGTTGTTGCTCACCGCCATGGCTGGAGCCTCGCCGCTGCTGTTGCTCTGGCTCTCCCAGACCGTGCTTTGTCCTCTGTGTTCTTGACGCGGCGCGGGGCGTCTGCGGTGTAAGGCCTTCCACAATGTGTTCGATGCCACAACTCTGAAAAGTATGCCACGCAGACGATAATGCCAGATGAAATATATTTAGCACCGCCCGCACACTGTGAAAGAATTGGCCATCGATTGGGGGTCAGACCCACACATATAAACAAGTGTATATCAGCAACAGTTGCCCCACTAGCAGCGTCTTGCTCCTGGTTCACTGCCGCTTCTTCCCTTGAGCATCAGGCTTAATTTATTGCTTTTTTGGTTGGCATCGGAGCAAGTAGATGCTCCGGTTCCCAGAATTTTTTTTATGGCAGCGCTTGGGCAATGGAGAGCATCGGTGCCAAATGAAGTAAAGGTGAATTTGGCACCATTTTTGACCTACATAGTGGAGGGCCTAAGATTCCTTCATGGGTGGGGGGTGGCATAAAAGGTTTTGCGGAAAGGTGGCGGGGTTTGCTCTTTGCTGGGGCTGGCACGCTGGCCCGGGGAGGACATGTGTGATCCTGATCCCTACTGTCGACGCATCATGCGCCGAGCGGCTTGTCAGCCAGCGCGTTCAGCGTGTGTGGGAGACCGGGATTGTTTGGACGAGAATGGCATGGGCGTGGTTGTTTTGCTTTCACATGCCACGTCCATCCACTAGCTTATAGCCTTATAGGAAACGAAAAAGAGATGAGTTTTAGTGAAAGTAGAAAGGAAAAAGGAGAAAAGGAGAAAATACTAGCAGTTATATATGTACAACAGTACAAGTGTGCCAACGAGGATGGCTTGTAGCCTAGTATAAGGGCATCTCCAGCCGTTCGACCCCCCAGGGCGTCTAAATAGAGCGGCCTGGGGGCGTGCCGGCGCTAATTCGGCCTCTGGGGGCGACCTAGCTCCCAGTCACGCCCCCACGCGCCGGCCCTAGGATGCAGAAATTTAAACTTGGTCGTTCCTGCTCTCAAAAGACGCCGCAAATCCGGCGATCGGACGTAGTCTGGTGTTACAAAAAATAGAGCGCCGCCGCCGCAAGTTCGCGTGCGCAACGATTCACTCGGCGGGGTCGGCTCCAGGCGTTGGCGGAGTCGGCGTGCGCGGGCTCGTCGTTGGTGGAGCTGCTTCGGTGCTGGGCTGCGTCGGCGCGGCTTCGGCACTGCTGGGCGGCGATGCAGAGGCGTCGGTCGGGCTTGGCGTCCGTGTGGTCGTGGGCGTCGTCGGCGTCGTCGGCGTTGCCGTCGACAGCTCGTTCAGGATGAGGCCGCGCTGCACCAGGTACCACGCCTTGAGCTTCTCGTCGTTGTTCTGGAGCTTGTCCGCCCCGCCCATCAGAAAAGCCATGTCGGTGTTCCTCTTCTTCGCGGCGACGTTCGTCCGGAGCAGGTCGAGCTTGATGGCGTTGTTCTTCATTAGCGACGACCACCGCGCCTCGGTCTTCTCTTCGCGTAGGACGGCCCAGGCCTGGGCGTCGGCGAGGCAATGCTCGATGGACTCCTGCACTCGCGCGGTTGCCGCGTCGGTGCTTTTCCCCTTCTTTGCCAATTTGTGGCCGTCCGGCCGCCCCTCTGATGCGCCCGGAGTCGTCGCGTCTGGCTTGTATGTCTCCTTGGCCTTGTCGAGGGCACGTCGGACTTCCGCCCACTTCTCGCACTTGTCAATGCGCTTGTAGATGTGGAGGTGCTTGAAGTCGGTGTCTTGGTTGTCGCCCCGATACATGGCGAACATACGCAGCAGCTGCGCGGAGGGACGAACAGTTGGCGGGCGGCGGGCGTAGGGGACGAAGATATGCGGGCGAACGGCGTGCGTACCTGATCCTCAATGCTGGCGCCGCTCTCCGGGCGAGCCGCGACCTCCTCGATGATTCCATGCCATTTGTTGCATGCCAACTAGATACGCCCCCAATGGTTCGCCATCGCCTTGGAGCCGCGCTGCATGTAGACGCCTTTGAAGTAGGAGTCGACGAGCTTCCGCTCGTCGAACTCAGCCTTGATGCGGTCCCAGTACGTCTCCAAGCTCTGGTTCGCGCCGGTGGTCGGGTCGAGGCAGACGACTTTCCATGCTTCGGCGAGGCATTCCTCCTCCTTGGACGTCCACTTGATGTGCGGTTCGCCTGACCTAGCCGCACGCTTGTTCTTCTTCTGGCGCCCCTTCGTCGGAACAGGAGTCGGCTCCTCCTCCTCCTCCTCCTCCTCGTCCTCCTCCTCCTCCTCGGGTTCCTGCGCGTCGTCGCCGTAGACGTAGCCGAGCTCGGCCTCCATGTCGCTGCTGAGGTCCACTACCTCGTCCTGGGTGGCGAACCCGGGAGACGAGGCGGTCGCGGTCGATCCTGTCGCGATGATGTCGTCCATGTTGGCTCCCGTGTCGTCGGCGTCGCCGAGGTGCGAGAAGGGTAGCGGTCCACGGTAGAGATGGGGCGTCGGTGTGGACGCGTAGGCGGCGGGCGGCGATTAGTTGTATGGAGGGTACCGCACGCCGACGAAGGCGGGCGAGGGCGTGCGCGTAGCGGGGTGACCATGCGGGAAGGTCATGTTTGGGTTGAACCCACCGTGCGCGTCGCCGTCGGCGTAGCCGGGCGACGATGAACCCCATGGAGATCCGGCGCCTTGCTGTCCTCAGGGCGCGTACTGGGCGTGGCTGACGACGGGTGGATTCATCCCCGCCTGGTCGACCGATGAGGAAGACGCCGCCGCGCGCGCCGCGTTGTCGCGGACCTTCTTGGCTATGACCCTGTTCCGCCTGTCGGTGGTGACTGCTTCGCGCCGCTGAACTTCCACCCTCCACTCGGCGTTCGACAGGCCCGGTGGCTTCGATGGAGGCGCCCTCGGCTTCCTTTGCTTCGGCTGGGCCACGGCGCCAGTCGCGGTTGCCGCCGCGCGCGGCATGGCGTGCTTCTTCGGCGGCATGGCGTACTTCTTCGCGGCGAGCGGGAAGGGGTTTGGCGGGAGAAAGGGAGAGAATGGCGGGAAGAAGGCGAGCGAGCAGGAGAGATACGAGGGAAAAGCGTCAAGAAACGGCGGGAAAAGGCCCTCGGGTCGCCTCCAGGGCGGGCCCATGCACCTTTTTCGCTTGTGCCGGCTCCCCAAGCGCCCCCCAGGGCGCCGGGTTCGGCTTGGGTCCGCCGGCACCAGTTTTGGCCCGAGTCGGCGAAAAACGGGCTCCTGGGGGCGCGACTGGGGCCTTTTTTTGGCGCCGGCGCGGCAAAATCGCCTGGGGAGGGCCTGTTGGGGGCGCGGCTGGAGATGCCCTAAATGTATAATGGCCGGATGAGGAATGACAACCTGATGGACCGATGCAGAAGAAAGCCATGAAATCCTTTCCTTCTTTTCTTTTCAAAACTAACTCCACGGTGTCCAAGATCAGCCGGGTCATTATCTCGCTTTTGTGGTTGATATGATGGATGAACATCAGTCCGGCAGTCCGTGCATTTCTTCTCGGACCGTCCATCTCAGCAAGATGCTTCTCGATCAAGTGGGTGTCGTCGTCATCGAGTAGACCGCCTTCGCGTGGCGTCCACTTCCGCCTTCGTCGTGTCTTCATTTTTCAATATATGTGTTGCATGTATATCTGTATTTTTTGGTCCACCTTTTAGTTGTGTATTGTTGAGATTGAGGCCTACTTGTACACTATACATATGTGCACCTGCATCCAATCAATACAACGAATATTGCATTGCCAAACCGTCTTTTACATGGTACCATCTCTTAAGGTCCTGCCGTGCGCCGCCGCCCCGTGCAGCCGCCGCGCCCTCTCACGCGCGCTGTCGATCACAGGGGCATCAGCAGCGGTCTCGGGGTCTACCGGAGAGAAGAGGGGGAAGAAACAGTAAATACACGCACAACATATGCAGAACATGATTATAAGCGGGGCTAGAGGTGTTCTAACGCAGCGCTAGACGGTACTGGCGAAGGGGGAAACATCCGGGAAAGTTTTCCCGGTTCCGGACGTCTGTTAGACAGATGAACCAGAGGGGAAATTTCAACGTTTGCTATGCTAGGCACGTGTGGCGGACGAACGGATAGCGTGTTCGGATTCGTCTCATCGTTCTGAGCAACTTTCATGTAGAAAAGTTTTCCATCCGAGCTACGGTTTAATTTCTATTAATTTTCAAAGTTTTAAACATTTGTTGAAATTATTATTAAAACCAAAATGGGGTTATTACATCAGCACGACGTCAAGGTGACATCAGCAAGGTCAATAGTCAACTCTGACTGGGTTGACTGGTCAAAAGGAGCAGTGGGGCCCGTTTGTCAGAGGCACATTTCACTAAACAGGTTAAATTAGACTAATATGCAATTAGGTTAATTAAACATAATTAATTTGTGTTAATAACATGATTAATTAATAAATTAAATAAATTATTTTTACTTTTATTTATACATATTCTTTTTGTTCTTCTCTTTTTTTAAGAGGGGCGGGCCCCACGTGTAGTGGCACAAAGGCCTTAGCGGGGCGGGCGCAACGGGCACCGGGCGTGGGCGCCCGTGTGTGCCCGAGCCACCAGGGGGCGCGGCGCCGGCCACGGCAAAGGCCGGCCGCGGCCCGGTCGGTGGCCATGGCAGGGCTTGCCGCCACAAGGGAGGGCCACGGCGGGTGAAGCCGGTAGCCCCGACCCGCAGGGCGGGGTACAGCAGAGGACGGCAGCGGTCGTGGCGGCGACAGCGGCCGGAGGTGGGCGCGCAAGGGGGGGCGCGACGGGCGCTGCTATCGGAAGGACGGCCATGCGCGGGCACACGCCTCGGGCGTGGCCGGGTCGCACGGCGCAAGCGAGGACCGCGACGGAGTACGGGAGTAGAGAGGGGGGAGGAGAGGGGAGGCGCAACCGGCTTGGCGGCTCACCGCGAGAGCATGGGGTCTAGGCAGAGGGCTCGGGGGGGTTCGGGGAGGTCCGGCGAGGGAGAGGACGAGGCGGACGACAGCGACGGGGACGAGGCAGCCCGGCGTCGGCGCGGTCG